TTTTTTTTTAATGCTCAAATGAGGATAATTAGTATAGTCAACATTATACAATGTAATTGGTTTTCGTGGCCTTTTACCAGTTCCTATCTTACCCTTCCTCCACCTTTCCCACCTCTGGTAACTTCAGCTCTGTTCTCTCCTTTTGAAAGTTCAGCGTATTATTGTGATTGTTGTATCTTTTGCTTTCTTATATTTTAAAATTAAAAATGGGCTAATACTGTGAAAACTGTTCTAGAATTCTTTTTATTTTCATTTTATATATTGTGAATTTATGTACTGGGCTGTCTTGTTCTTTCCAATGTCTGCCATAGTATTACATTATATGCATCTATAGCACCTGCTTGATGGACNAAAAAAAAATTATTTGAACATAAGTTTAGTGCCATGGTTCTCAGTAGGAATCAATTTGGCTCTCCAGAGAACATTAGTCAATGTCTGCAGATGTTTTTGATTGTCACAACTGTATTGATAGGGGATGGCATCTAGTGGGTAAAGGCCAGGGAGGCATTTAAACTTCCTGCAATGCACAGGACAGCCCCCTGCCATGACAAAGAATTAACTGGCCCAAATGTCAGTAGTACTGAGTTTGGGAAACACTGGTTTAGTGTAACATTTTGTTTTTCAGATATCCGAAATGTGTTGTGAGGCAGTAAAGAAACTCTTTAAACAAGATAAATTAGGCCAAGCTTCTCTTGGTGTAATTAAAGTGATTTCTGGTTTTGTGAAAGGCAGAAATTACGAGGTTAGGCCAGAGGTAAGCCTTTCTTTTCTTACTTTGCATTTTATGTGTTTTTAAATTACAAAGTTAATTTTAAGTTGTTATGAAGAACTTCTTTATAGAAGTGTATAAAGTAAAAGTACTCAAACTTCTTAAATGTAAGCACTGTTAACAATGTAGTATGTATTTTCTATGTAGTATGTATTTTCTAGATGTTTTTCTATGCAGATACAGACATACATGCTTGCTTATTTAAAAAAAATTTTTTTTTNGCTCAGTTGCCATCCACATATGTCTAGTAGCTTCCATATTAGATCATGTAGACCTTTTCTGAGTGGATTGAACCATCATGAAGTCTCCTTTTTTTATCTAGGTTTTTTTTTTTTTTATTGTGGTAAGATATACATTTATTGTTAAAGAAATCTAATAGTTCAAGTTTTGACTTGTGAAAAAAGTAACTACAGTTATCTTTCGATTAGACTGGAAGCAAAGAAAGCTGAAGAAAAGTAATGTAGTTTCCTTAAAGGCATACAAAGGACTGGCAGAAGTGGCTGTGAAGAGCCTGTGTGAACTGTTGGTGGCACTACCTCATTTTAACTTCCACAACAACATCATTGTATTGATTGTCCCTCTCATGAATGACATGTCAAAATCGGTGGGTTGCTCTAAATGGTTATTGCCTATTGTCTAAATGGTTATAAAGAATTATAGACCATGTGATTTTTTTTTCCCCACAGAAGTCTTTTGGAGCTATTATTTATTAATAAAATAGTGTCATTTATTAAAGATTGTCTCTTTAAAAAAATTATTTGAGAGCCGGCCCGGTGGCGCACTGGAGAGTGCGCCGCTTGGGAGCGCGGCGGCGCTCCCGCTGAGGGTTCGGATCCCATGTGGAGACCGGTTCCCGCTCACTGGCTGAGCGCGGAGCGGGCGCAACACCGAGGGTTGCGATCCCATTGCCGGTCCCCGGTACGGGCGCGACACCAAGGGTTGCGATCCCGTTACCGGTCAGTAAAAAAAAGACAAAAAGGAAAAAAAAA